ATACCTGGACAGTATCAATGATAAACAAGATGAATATGATGTTAATGTAAAGACAGGGATTAACAAAGTAAGAACAACATTTCCAGACACGGAAAAACACATGGAGCTTAAAGCAATTGCCAATCAACATCGAAGTGTGAGTTTTCAGTATGCACATCAAAACAGTTCTATTATATAGAGTGGATACTTGGAAAATCACGCAAGCCATCATTCTAAAAATAAAGTCTCTTAATAAAGCAAGATACTATTGATACATCGACCGGAAACTATAAGCAACAACATACTGAGCGAGAGAATAAACGAGTTTGGAAATGAAGAGGAAATTAGGGAACAGCATCCAAATGCCTCCACAAGACAAACTCTCATTTGGAAACTACATGGTCAGACTAGTTAACACATTGCGCCAAGATTTAAAAGCGAACGAGACTTTCACCAGCGTCCAGGTAGGCTACCTTGAATCCCTAAATAGAGTGAAAAGACTTTGTAAGCGTAAAAAGTATATTCTGCAAACACCCAGCAATCACAATACAATCAAGCATACAACTCTCGTTTATTTATACATCATAGAAACGTCCTTGAGACAGTTAAGAAAATAGCACCCTAAAATACACAGCAACCGATTACAGCCATGGATTTTCCTGGTGGGAATTGAAATCTCAAGGTCAACTGATCAGCCCATGCTCGCAAGCGTCAAAACCAAAATAAGGCATTTGTCAAGCGAATTTTGGGGATCTAACATCCCCAACACACCCAACTGCGTCATAAGACAAACCCTGACCTGGAATCTCCAGGGCCAAACGAAAAGAAGAAGACTAACGAACTCATTACATAGAGAATCAGAAACTGAGATGGAAAGAATGAACAACACTTGTATAGAACTGAAGCTGAGATCGAAGAACACAGTAAGTTGGAGAAGGCTTTTGGGTGCCCCATGTTCCACTAGAAGTAACATGCGTAAGTAAATATGTAATACATATATTCCTTAGAAAATCAATGCATTCCTTTAAATGACAGTACACAATTGTTCTTTAAAGAAGATATGATTGACAGAAAGTGAATTTCGCCTTATAGGTACTTCAAACTGGTTAATTACATTAGAATTAAACTTATGACTTTCACATCTCCCAGTGGAAGTAATAATATCATTCGACTAATGAACCTAGAACCTAATCAGTTTGTAAAGTAACCCTGATCACTCTTCATACTTAAAGATCTGCTAGTTGATTACTGTTTAACTCTTTCAAATATCAACTATTCTATGTATATGAAATATAAAATATTAAAAACTTGTTGAAATAAACAAGTAAGTAACATTTCTCTTCTTTCCAAATTTTTCTTCTAAAACTTTCCATTTCATTTCATCTCATTCACGTTGAAGTAAAAATAAATTCATGACATCCGATAGTAAAAAAAAGTGTGTTTCATTTTCAAATGAATGATTCTTAGCCCAAGTTATTATCCATTATTAAAAATTAACAAGTTATTAAACCATGAGCTAAACCGTCTAGAGTTGCAAGCAGTTAGCCATTGAAGACTATGTAAGACGACGGATGGTTAAGCAATGTCATGAATTGATTGAAGTTAGATATTTAACATTGTTAAATGTCGACTAAGTGGTTTGAAGGCTTAGTGACATCGTACGAGGTCAAAAGTCATGATCAGTTCGACTCCCGATGTTGGGGTGTTTACTGCTCGCTGGTACTACATTGTGACGAAATGACTGTACATAGTTTTTTCACCTTCAGTAGTGTTCTAATCTATATCGGTTAATGATTACGATGAGATTATGTCAGACTGTAAGACTACAGTTCTTTTTCTATACATGAAGCATATGTATTGAGCATTACAAACGCCACCAGTCATATGTTCGTTAATCGTAAGAAAATCTTGATATACAGTTTGTTATTATAGCTATTTGTATTTTGATTTCATTTATTTTTTGCTTGAGAAAGTGAAAAAGTTAGTTAGCTATCCTTCAGATCATACTGTAGGTTACTCATAATTTGAGAAAATATCTCAGATGTCCGCTGTATTTCTCACTGGAGTTGTAGTAAGCTAAGAGCTTAACTGTTCAGTGTCCTTACAGGTACCAGATACCTTGAGAGGTTCTGCCAGGAGGTTGGAATTAAACAACAGTGATTTCTGGCTACATTGGGTTCGTTCTGATAAGTACTCGATACCAAAGCGTATAGCCATTTTATGGGCGAGTGATATTCTCTGTACGCTGTGAATTTATTCAACATAATATCATTGTTAGGGACATTACTACAGTGTTATTCGGGTTTAATAAACCTCTCACAGGGTCGATATATTTACGCTAAATAATGACTTCGCGCTGACCAACATTACATTTATCTAATTGTGGATGTAGGATTCGTGATATTTAACACTCTTCATTAAGCAATATCTTTATTCTTTAGGGAAATAATACCACTCTGAAAGGTTGAAGAAATTTGTAGCTCAGGTGGATGATTGTGGTGGAGTTCCGTTCTCTGAGGTGGATGTTTTGGTTGTGTGCCCTTCATTGTTCTTTATTCGGGACTTTCGATCCCGTTAACTCACTTGGTAAAGGTGCTATTTTCGTAATTTGTTTCTGAAATTTTGAATTTCTATGTTTTCGCGCCAAGAGGCGCTTAGTTGACCTACAGCTTACATTTCCCACTCGGAAAATCCTTGACTGTCGTTAGTTGATGGATTATTTTAATACGCTATATTTTAGCTCTCAGCAAAGGCGTTTCTATTATTGTATATATAGACTTGATTTGTGTGCTTAGCAACCTTGTATTTTCTGGTTGCTTGTAGAATACATTCACTATGCCTTATCAAGACTTCTTGCTCTATTTAGCAGGGCCGGTGATAATCGGATCAGAATTGCCTATCGTGTCACTAAGTCGTCTCTCTTGGTTTCATTTACCTAGTAAGATGAACTTGTAATAGTTTCAAGCATTCCAATAGACGAGTATATCATTCTTCTACTGAATAACATCATCAGCTCAAACTTCAGGTAGATAGATGTAAAGTATTCGAATTTTTGCCTCATTTAACCCGGGTTCAACTTATGTTGATGATAATAGCTGTTTTGGGTTTCAAACCTAGTCTGAGACATTACAGTTCAGCTATGTTGACCGTGACTGACAAGTATCAAATAACAAGAAGACTAGATGCAGAGCTTCCTTCGAACTACCTCTAATTATCTAAAACTTTCAATAACATGATATATCAACGATATCTAGTCACTTGAAGGAGTTTTTATAAATTACCGCCGCTTGATAAACACAATTCAAATTAATACAAATGAATTGACATTGTTCACTACTATACAAATCAATGATCAATCAGCTGACAAAAGACTATTGGACACACTCACATCCACACATACAAGATTAGAAATATTTATCATCAGTACAACTAAACAAAATAAGTTATTCATAAAATGAAAATGAAAAAAGAATGGGGAAAAATGAGAAAAAGCAAGTGATAAGAAGAAAAAATCGATCAAAGTTAGACATTAACACCGTTAGATACCGGCTCAGTAGTCCACAGGTCAAATGTTCACGCACAAGACTGAAGGTCTTCGGTTCGAATCTAACGAGGGGCAAGAGTTGTGAATGCACACTACCATTGATGGGTCCCATACCAGGATCACGAAACGGCCATCTTTCTGTTAGGATATTCATCCAATATCCTAAGAGAATTATTGATCAATTCATATTGGTTAATTCCTACTGGTCAATTTTATGGTCGTCCTAGATATCAATGTCACGCGCTCCAATGTTGTTGCTTATTTGTTGTCCTGACTATCAATCTCACTTCAAATGTTGCTTCCTATTGGTCTTCTTAACTGTCAATGTCACAGACTCCGATGCTGTTTCCTATTCGACCAAAATGTATAAATACGCATTATCTTTAACGTTTTATGACCCGGAACCCGGTCCCAGATCCCTAGTCCGAAATCCTGATTCTCTTCTGGACACGGACCTCGTACTTTCTGGATGTTTGTAGAATACAGGTTCTACTTCATATTTAACTCTTATTTTCTCACTCAATATGGGGCTTGGTATAATCGGATTTGAGTAACATGTCATACTGCCGGATCCTCGATCGTCTCTCTCTCGTTTTCCAACTAGGTAAACTCGTAATAGTTCCAGCATATCAAGTTGACGCGTTTACTTACGTGCAGGCGTAACACTTTCAGTGCTTCCAGATTCCCAATGATGGCCCTAACATTAATCGATTTAATCATTTCAAGCGTCTAACTTAAACAATCTCCAAAACCTCTTAGTGCAAAAATCAATCACACAAACACATGGCCAACCGCATGAATAAATCTGCATTGTTTTTTCCGTCCTTTTTTGTTGAATGGAATATTTTTGATCACAAGCAATACTTCAACACAACAATTAATAACCTGATTAAAACAGACTACAATTTCTTCCTAAATAAATATATATATTATTTACTTACACAAATCAAAAAGTACATGGGGAGGTATACAATGCAGGAGATACAGTGTACAATATTTTGCATGTAAATTAAATGAAAATAAGTTTTCACATAAAAAATAACCACAATTGATTAGTATCTCTCTCTCTCTCTCTCTCGTTAGTGTAAAAAAAGCACATATATTTATATGTATATGTATATATGTATACATATATTACGTCATAAATAAATAAATATCAGCTGATTGATGATTCATTCATGGAAAATAGTGTGAAGTAAACATATTGAGCAAAGTAATATATATATAGGGATAATAATTCAATGAGTGAAATTATTTACACCTCATTTGAATGGGATATGTGTGTGTGTGCGCGTGTGTGTGTGTGTGTGTGTGTGTGTGAGTGGTACATGCAATTGATTTGCATCAAGAGCAGGCATTTGTTTGTTTTGCATTGTAGTCCAAAGAAAACAGCGCCTATTTACGAATTTTTATAAATTTGTGTAAGTTAAATTGAAAAAAAAACAAACAGCTTCATTCTCATTTGCACGCATTAATTTCATTTAAATGGTATAAAAATATGCAGAGTTTTATTAGGCAAATAATGATCACCAGTATCAGTGTTTGTATTAGTTAATGTCAGTTCTTCTTGTTGTTTTGTGAATAATACATTTTGTTTAAGTGCATGATGTTGTAGTTTTTGTTGACGAATCAATGTGCGTAATTGACTACTACTACTAGTAGTAGTAGTAGGAGTAGGAGATTTGTCAAGATTTTTTTGATTAACTCCAGATAATTTGTTTAACTTGAGAAAAAGAAGATGGACAATAATTAAGTAATTTGAAAGAAAATAAAAATTTGGATTTCTTTTATAAAAAAAAAATCAGTTATTTTCTAAGTTACACATTTTGAAATTATGAATCGATCAATGTTAGACTACTACTGAACGTCAAAACAGTGGTTCCTTTTTGATAAATTTGAATAGAGAAATGAGAAGACATATTTTGTGAGATAGTAAGTACCATTTCGTGCTTTCTCGTCAGTCACATACAAACAAGCAACATGTTATTTGTGTGTAAATACAGCAGTTTTGAAGATAAGGTCAAAATTTCTTATTTAGCATGACATTCACTCACTAGAAGAACCATGGTAAACAAAGGTCAATATACAGTTGTTTTTGAACACATATAGTTGGACTTTTCCAACCAATCAAGATAGTTTCGAGTAGTTTCAGTGTGTGTGTGTGGGTTTTGATTACATGTCACACAACTCTAAAGGCTGATTTTGGGTCAATTTGATGACCACTCATCATTAGATGTTTTGCAATGGACGAGGTTGGGTTTCTTGATCGATTTTGAGATGAAAGGCTAGGTTGATGAATCATGTATTTGATTAGCCATTTTGGAATATGTTCCCCTATCCTGTCTTCCAATCGGCGATCTGTCCTCCCTAAGTAACTTTCTCCGCAGTTACATGTGAATTGGTAAATACAGTGGGATTTGGACTGAATCGGTCTTGGAGAATTGATTGGGGTAACCGAGATCGATTGAGTGATAAGCCTCAGATTAGCTGCATTGAAGGTCTTTTTTATTGCAGCTGCAGTCTGTTTGGTTGTAATTTTCATGCACTGATCACCCTTGAAAGGTAACTGTAGGTACACTGGTTTCTTGGGCACATCAGTTGCTATCAGCTTCGTCGTAGTTGTGTTCTGATGACTAATAAACGTTTCGGGATATCCGTTTGATTTAAGTGTGTCAGTAATAAGCTTGAATTCGTCGTTCAATGTATCAGCAGTGCAGATTTTACTTGCTCGAGAGAATAAAGTTTTGACAACAGAACGTTTATATTGTATGGGGCAGAAACTAGTGAAGTGGAGGTACTGTCCCGACCAGGTGGGTTTGCGGTGTACTTTTCGTCTGATTGATCCGTCTGGACGGCGATGGAGCAGGATATCGAGGAATGCTAGTTCATTATTCTTTTCTTCCTCATAAGTGACTTTCAGATTCGGGTGAATCGCATTAAATAAATCATTGATTTCATTAATATCTGTAGAATGTGGTAATATGACAAGAATATCGTCGACCTATCGTTTGTAAAGTGTAATACCATCGATGAAGTGACTCACTTGCCTTTCTATCATTCCCATGAATATGTTTGCTAAAACAGGTCCGAGAGGGCTTCCCATAGCCTGACTGACGAGAAAGCACGAAATGGTAATATCTCACAAAATATGTCTTCTTATTTCTCTATTCAAATACTACTGAACGGTCGTTTCGTGATCCTGGTATAGGACTCATCGGCGCCAGTGTGCTACCACGACTACTATACCTCGCAGGATTCGGACTCAAAATCTTAGATCTCGCGTGTGAATGCTTAACCTGTGGGCCACTGAGCCAGTATATAACTTTTTTATGTCTAACTTCGATCAATCCACTGTCTTGTGTAATCCTAGCTCCAGACAACTTGTTTAACTTACGACGTTTTTGCAAAAAAATGGACAAATATTAAGTAATTTGAAAAAAAATGGAAACAGAGCTTTTTTTGAAAATGTGTAATTCCTTCTAGTGAATCTGTTATTTTCTAAGTTAGATTAATACTGCTAAAAATAGATATTAATCCTAAAGCCCAAAACCTTAACTTCCTCTAGGAGCCCCTATGGGGCTTCGTCCGGTTCCAAGCCCGGACAGAGGGAGGCGGTTAGGCATGAGGTTAGCCATACCATCCCGTACAGAACTAACTCGAGTAAAAAACGCAAACCAGCAAGAATAATTCAAACCATTTTAAACTCTGACCTGATAGTAAGAAAGTATTCGTTTTGAAGAGTTATGACGGTTGAAAGTGAATGAGATATACTTTGCCCAAAGCACCCGTCTACGTCACAAGACAAGACCTCACTTGAAATTCTTAAGGTTAAAGGAAAATAGGACGACTAAGGAATACATTACTCCGAGAAATGGAGACAGACATGAAAAGAATGGACAACAATTAGACAGAACTAGAAATGCAGGCCCAGAACAAACTAGGTTGGAGAATGTTGATCGACGGCTTCTTTTTCAGGAGTAAGCAAATAAGTTTAACTTCAAACTGGTTCCACAAGAATTGAAATAATTTTTCAAGTATTATATGTTTTACTTTGCTTTAGTTCATTTTTTTGTATTTATTGACATAATACAATGAAAGAATTATTTAAGTACTTTTAATGAGTAGGAAACATTCAATGAGCTATAATGATATGTACGCAATCACTAAATTAATTAATAACAAAGTCATCAATCAATCATTGTTAGAACACCATTAGAAACCTGGAAGCACTGGACGACCGTTTCGACCTGGTATGGGACTCATCAGTGGCAGTGCGCATCTAGGACTCCTGCACCTCAAAGGATTCGAACCCAGGACCTTCGGGATTGTGCGCGAAGGCCTAACCATCGGACCACTGGGCAGGCATTCAAACGTGTAAAAACACAAACCTCCAAAACTCTGCCCGAAAAGATCGTAACAGTGCTCCCTAGTGACTAGCTTCGTGAGGAAACTCTCCGAGTTCTAGTTGAGAAGACGTGACCTATGGAGTTCAACCCAATTGGGTGTAGGCATTAACTACCAAAGACAAATGGGTGAGGTCGTGCAAAATCCGTAGATCAATCAGAGTTAGACATTGACACCGCTGGATTCCGGCCCAGAGGTCCGATGGTTAGGCGTCCATGCACAATACCGAAGGTCCCGGGATCGAATCCTGCAAGGAGCAGGAGTCGTGGATGCGCACTGCTGATGAGTCCCATTCCAGGACGAAACGGCCGTCTTTCAGTGCTTTCAGGTTTCTAATGGTGGTCTAACAATGATTGTATAATGATTTCAAATGTGTAAAAACACAAAACCTTCAAAACTCTGCCCGATAATAACAAAATGATTTTATTTTAACTTTTATTCACTAGTTACTTTCCTTTGATAACAGGTTTTCAGTTCCTTCAAAATATATTGATCGGATTTCAATGGAATAGACAGAATGTGGCTAGCGATCGAAGCCACGAAGTGCTCTTCGTTGTATTTGGGACTGGTCAGCGGAGTGTTACTATGTTGTAGAATTGATGTCCACTTGGCGAACTCGAACTCTGTACTATCTGTTTTAAACGCCATAACGAGATAATACAAATTATATCTCATCCCTTTTTCACAAAAGAGTGACTTTCTGGATAGGACTTAGTATCTAAGGCTATAACATTTAAAGGCTATAGCATTTGAAACAGACAGTTCTAGGTTTGAGTCGGGAAGTAAGCATTTACCATGAAATGAAATTATACCCAGCTACCGAGTCCCAAATAAGATACGTCACATTCTACTTATTTTATGTATAAACATATGTCAGAATGGCTATTATCAAGACAATCCACATAGGATATTCATATGTTAAACAAGATTGATCAAGTTTCAGTCAAAATATTCACATTACAATAATCTATGACATTTTCAAATTGCTTTCATCATCAAACTCTATTTTCTTATAGTTTTTGATATTTATTACGATATTCTACTGAAGTTTGACAAACAAAAGGAATAGACAGATATCTTATGACAGTCAAGTCTACAATGATTTCTACCTTTTTGTTCTTCTTCAATTACAATATTGATTCACGTGATTCACGTGACAGGAAATATAAACTCTCTTTGTTTAAATATTCATCAATTTATGTCAAAAAACACAATCCATAGACATAAACAGTTTAATCTTGATTATTTAAACTTTGTTAACATTGTTCGCTGAAATTGCTTTCACCTAAATAAGTGAAACAAACTTGAAAATAAAGAAAAATATCGTATCGTAGGTTATCATCTGTCATCGATCTATAAACAAAGTAAATAGGCTAAATTACCTAAGTCTGTATCCTAACAAAGATCTGTCAACAATTTTTAGTTAACTGATGATCATTCTATTTTAAATTTATGTAACTAGTTAAAATGTACAACATGCTGTTAGATTTTTGATTGGAGGATTATTTCAACGAATTGTCGGATATTAATATTATTATCATTATCTATAAGAAAGAGGTGAAGGCTGGTGTCAGGCAAGGTTGTTTACTCACACTGTTTCTCTTTCTCCCGGTGATCAACTGGATTTTGACAATGTCAACATCTGGAGTGGAGCGCAGGTATACAGTGGATAACTAGAATGCAGCTGGATGAGCTAGACTTTGCACATGATCTGGTTATTCTATCGCATACGCAACAACAAATTCAAGAGAAGACAACCAGTATGACAGCAGCCTAAGCAGTAGCAAGACTCAACATACATAAAGGGAAAGGCAAAACTACACATGAGCCAACCAAATCACTCTTGTTGGGAGATGCCTTGGAAGACGATAAAACCTCAACATATCTTGGCAGAATCATCAACAAGCAAGATGGATCCGATACAGATATGAAGGCATGGATCAGTAAAGCAAGCGCTGCATTTCTACAACTGAACAATATCTGAAACTCAAAACAAATGTCAGCAAATACCAAAGTCACAATTTTTAATATAAATTTTAAGACAGTTCTACTGTGCGAGACCGAAACTTAGAAAACTACCAAAGCCATCATCCAGAAGATACAAGTATTAACTAACAGTTGTCTACGCATAATACTTCAGATCCGTTGGCCAGACACTATCAGCAACAACCTACTGAGGTACAGAACAAAACCAGATTCCGGTGGAGAAAGAAATCAGGAAGAACCTCCGGTGGAAGATAAGACACACTTTGAACAAAGCACCCGAATGCGACAAGCCCTAACTTGGAACACTCAAGGTGAAAGGAGAAGAGGAATGCCAAGGAAGACAGATGTGAGAAAAATGAACAAAAATTGGTTAGAACTGGATGTTAGAGAATACTAGTCGGCAACCCAATACTCCGTTGGATGTAACAGACATAAATAAGTAATAACAAAGAACTTACTTTCTTCTGTGACATTGTTTGTTTCATAGAATTCTTTTTTCTATTTTCTTTATTCCCTACTAAAATTGATGAATTCATTAATTCATTCGATGAATCCTTAAAACATTCATCATAAATTATTTGTAATTTCATTTGAAAATCATTTGAAATCCAATTCATAATTGTAGGAAATTGGCTTTGCAAATGTTTATATTGTAATAAAATTAAATTCCAATAACCTTCTAAATCAATTTTCAATGGAATATAATAGTGATAAGAATGTGAATGAGAATGAGAATAATGATAACAATCCAGTGGTTGTAGATTTTTATTTGTAGAATTTGATTGTAAATAAATTCTGCATAATTTACATAATGTTGTTAAATTACCATTGATTAACATTTGTATATGACCAATACTTGCTAAGAGTTCATTATTAGCTGTCAAAAAAACAAAACAATAAAAAAAATTTTTTCATTGATCATTGTTAACAAAGAGATTGTGTCGTTTTAAAATTCATTCAAAAATTGTTTAAATGACTGTCAGCGTTACAAAAGAAATGGAAAGAAATGGAAAGTGATGAGATGTTAAAGAGAATTTATAGAATTCTGTTGTTGTGTGTCGTTTTACTGTGTGTTCTATAGCTCAGTAATTAGCTCGTCCAAAACAATCGTTACTAAGTAGTGTCTGACGGTTTTGTAAATCAGAAGAAGGTGAACTTGTAGTGATGAATACGTTTATTTGGGGCATACCACAGAGTGAAGCGGAGAAGCAGTGAATAAAACGATTGGAGCGACGTGAATTGGATTACAATATGAACGAATGGGCAAAGGAAGCGAATGAACAGGCGAAGCGCGTTGGAGAAGGCTAATGAACCAACTCCCAGAGATAGAGCATGACTAAGAATATATAGTCAGACAAATATAAGACAACAAGCGAAATAGGCACACATGAATAAAAGTGACACATAGTTGACAAGGTCAAATGACAAGTAGGACACGTCATGTGAGCTCATACAAACCAGACAGTAATAAGAACGAATGGTACCTATAAGTTGTTGTTATACAAATGACTTGGTTATATAAATTAATCGAAAGGGCTTAACCAAATGAAATGTAAACGAACTCGAATATACGTGGAGGCACTACACTGTTATCTCTGAGGTTGACTGATGTTACGGATGTTAGATCTACAGAACTCTCTTGATGAATGTTTTTATTTTGGATTCTATTCAAGGGCTGATCTTGAGATCACACATTTCCCACCTGGAAAACCCTTGGTTGTGATTGGTTCCTGTGTTATTTTAGTGTGCTATTTTTGTGACTCTCCCAAGAAAGTTTCTATCATGTATAAATAAACGCAATTTGTGTGCTTGATTGCATTGTGTTTGCTGGGTATTTGTAGAATACACTTTCTACGCTATATCTAGACTTCTCGTTAACCGTTTGTGGTCAACGGATCAAAGTAGCCTACCGTGTCACCGGTTCATTGTCTGGTTCTCGTTTATCGACTAAAGTGACCGTGTAATAGTTTCAAGCATAGCAAGTGACAACCTTAACAAATGAAATTTGCATTGTTCTTCTGAACTACATATTATGTAGAAATTTTATTTAGAAGTGAAGTATTGTAAAGTATTCACATATAACTAACAGCTTTCGTGGTATACTTTTACTCTACAAATAATCACAGATAGAAGGTCAACAATGACCAATGAAGATGAAAGTCAACGGGAGAAGTTGTTAGTTTTATGCGAAGTAATGTGAGTACTTCAGTTCTTACTTGGAGTTTATGTTGATGATGTTGTTCAGAAGAAAAACTGATTGTTTAATATAATAAACAGAAATGAAAACAAAAAGCTTGCAACTAAATCATCCCGTTCATTATTTCAAACTAGTAATTACAAATATTAAGTGGACTTAACCGAATCGAGAAAACGTTCTAATATGAATCAGTTTGAAAGTCAACTGACAACTTATACCGGTATCTATCTATTTCTATCCTATGGTCTAATTCACTATTACATGGAATATTATTGCGTATAGGGTTATAGGTAAATGTTTAGACATTTGAGACTAGTAAAAACTGTAAACAGTGGTGTACATTTTTCTCGCTATTTCTACCTGATATTATCTGTATGAAACTTTTTTAAAATAATTATATTTCATACTTCGCTATTTTGGATATGAAAATTTAGTCATCTCCACCTAAGTCAAAATAGTCTCATTGAATATTCAGTAAATATCATTGTGAAACTATCAAAGCGACAATAAATAATGCTTGCTAGTAAAATTGTATTATTTTTGTCTATGTCAACACTGACCTAATTTACCAACCAATCAGAAAAAATCATAAGTAAACATAGGGGATCAAGAAACAAATCAAAGAGGGATACAATCAAAATAAAGGTAGAAACAACCACAGGTTTAAGGTCAATTACAATTAATCAAGATCGTGGTTAACAGAGCAAGCTATAAGTCATATATGGTGAAATTCCAATACTTCACTTCTATCTACCTGAAGTTTGTGCGGATGACGTTGTTGTTCAGCAGATGAACAATGAAAGCTACACAACCAAAACATCCAGCTCAGAGAACTTAAACTCCACTTCTAATATGAATCAGTTTGAAAGTCAACTGACAAGTGGACACAGTAACTGTCCATTTCTATCCTACGGTCTAATTCACTTTTACATAGAACAATATTACGTATAAGGCGAGTGGTGAGTGTTCAAGCATCCAAGATCAATAAAACTGTGAACAATGGTATAAATATTTTTTTTTCCTCGCAGTATTTACCTAATATTAAAGTAGAACTTTTTCAAATATTTAACAAAAGCAGTATTTACCAAAAATATTAAAATAGAACTTTTTTTAAATATTTAAAAAGAGCAAGAATCCTATACCTCTGAAAAAATTAAATAAATATTTTTGGGAAAGAATATAAATTTATTTCATTTGAAAAATGTAACACTTACAAACACGAGAGTGAACAAAACAAAAACCATAAAAGTGTTAAATAGTACAAGCTAGTTCCAGATAATAATAATAGGCAAACGCAAAATTTGCGAATCGGACTCATTGTGATGGATATCAGTAGACTGGGAATATCCTTCACTTGTAACGCCCAACTATCACATAGAAAAAGTTGAACAGAAAGAACTACCAAACAGTATATAGTAACCACTTTATTGGTAGACAGTTATTTCATCTACGCTATAAGTGACGCGATGAAACAAACGCGCGTCGACATTCCAACATCTATCAATCCACGAAGTCTGATAAAACTTCCTAAATAAGCAACATGATCAATGAGCTCAACTACCATTACTCTTTAGTTGAAGAGTTTATGCCAAGCGGTCTTAAGGTAAAATTCTATATTCTCTAAGGTAAACAAAGGGTAGTGCTACTCAAAGACCAGATAATTACCTTAGTTACTTAGTGTTAATAGTCAAATGACTGTAGGAACTGAAATTAAACAAGTAAGTGTTTTTAAATAGAACAAGAACAAAACTTGGAACTGATCAACATGAATTCAGTGTATTTCATTCAGTTCTCTGTTCAGCTACTCCTTACAATCCATAATATTTAAAGTCATAATTGTAAATTACGTAGTGCAGGTGGAAAATATTATGATTAGTATGCAGCATCTCACATATATCTTGTACTTTTGTCATTGTTGAGCTTGTATGCGCATGTACGTAGTTGGGGATTACTTGCCATCTACACATTTAGTTATTTGACTAGCTGTATTGATTAACACTTTGAATATTTCGATGTCAATATCGACTATACATATTTGAATTAAATCCGATATTTGTATCGATCATTCAATAATTTGAATAATAAAGAAATTGTGGCAACGACTCATGTTCTATGGTAGAGATCATCAAGACGGAGATATACGGGAAATCAAAGATAACGAAAGTCTAACGCCACAAGTAAAAAAGTATAACAAAAGCTCTAATTGATTTCAGTAAACTGAATAAATTATTTTAAGTATATACCTTATGCGGAACAGCTTTCCACAACATTGATGATAACAATGTCCACAGGACTAGAAACAAATGATTACATGATGAATAGATGATAAGAATAAATAAGAATAAAATGAGTAAGTCATCGATCAATCATTGTTAAACCATCATTAGAAACCTCGAAGCACTGGATGGCCGTTTCGTGATCCTGGTATGGGACTGACTAATCAGCAGTGAGCATCCACGACTCGTGCAACTCGCAAGATTCGAACCCGGAATCTCCCGTCTTGTATGCGAACGCGCGACCTCACCCATTTGTCTGCCCACATCCGACAGGCTTGAACTCCGCTGGTCCTAGGACCAAGACGAAACGGCCATCCAGTGCTTCCAGGTTTCTAATGGTGGTCTAACAATGATTGATTGATGATTTCAAATGTGTAAAAACACTAATGTCCATAAATCTAATTGAAAATGACTAAAGATCACAGATTACTAATCTAGAAGACAGTCAAAACATTATGATGTAATTAGTCGAAATAATCTTACAATTTGTAATGATCTAACAAAACCTACACGAAAAAGAAAGGCCCAGGAAAGAGTTCGTTAAAGAGTGCTGGTCGTCAGCCTATATTCCATCAGGGGTAACAGGTGCAAGTAAGTGAGTGAGCAACAAAAACTCAAAGAAATAGAAGCAATTCACTTTATTCTACTCAAATCTTTGTTCCTACTCTCGTCAAGATGATAAAAATAGTTATATTTCATACTTGAATATTTTAGCCACGAAAGTTTAGTCATGTAGGCATAAATCAAAGTAGTCACACTGAACATTGAGTAAATATCATTGTGAAGCTTTCAAAGCGACAATAATTCTTGCTAGTAAAATTGTTTTTATTTTGTCGGTGTCAACAGTGACCTACTTTATCAACCAATCAGAAAAATCATAAGTAAACATAGGGGATCAATAAAGCGTATAAAATCGAAACGAAGGTGCAAACTGTTGTGCTCATCATTTGATATAGTTGAAACTATAACGAGTTCACATTAGTCAATAAACGAGAACCAGACAATGAACCCGTGACACGTTATGCTACTCTGATCTGTTGCTCCAAACTAACTGACAAAAAAGTCTTGAAAGTGTATTCTACAAGCACCCAGCCAGCACACTATGAATCCAAGCACACAAATCTCGTTTATTTATACATCATAGAAACGTCCTTGAGAGAGTCGCAAAAATAGCACATTAAAATGACTCAGTAACCAATCATAGCAAGGGATTTTCCAGGTGTAAAATGTGGTCTCAAGGTCAAATGATCAGCTTATGAATAAAATTCAAAATTAATACTTTTTTCAAGTGAATTCTGGGGATTTAACGTCCTCTATACATACAACGAAAAGTTTATTGTCAATAACAATTGATCAAGAGATCTAGGTCAACAGAACAAGCTTCCAGTCATGTGTGTAAAAAATTCCAATACTTCACTTCTCTGCCTGAAGTTCAATGAAACGCTCCACAAACAAAACCCTATTCAGTTCAGAGAACTAATCTTAGCCATAATCATCCATTTGAGCTAAAAATCATTGCCACCATCTCAAAATCATATGATCGATCGTGTTGTATTTTTTCAATAAAGAAGGTACTCACTTCTGATAAGTCTCACACACTCACAACGGCAACACCCATCCACACCTTCCAAATTACTTATGATAAATCTAACAGTTGTGGTGGTGTTTCGTTCTCTGAGCTGGTTGTTTTGGTTGTGGAGCTTTCATTGTTCTTCTGAACAACATCATCAGCACAAACTTCAGATAGAAGCAAAGCATTCGAATTTCTCCACGTTTGACCTGTAGCTTGTTCTGCTAACCTCGATCTTGATTGGTTGCTGTTGCCTTTTGACCTGTCGTTGTTTGCAACTTTGTTTTGATTGCACCCCCCCCTTTTTGATCTGTTTCTTGATCCTGTGTCACCTATTATTTTTCTGATGTTGTTCAGTAGAAGAACAATGAAAGCTCCACAACCAAAACAACCAGCTCAGAGAACGAAACACCACCACAATCATCTACCTGAGCTACAAGTTTTCTCCACCATCTCTAAATCTAACAGTGATCGATTCACCATTTTAATGAAAACAAATAACAATAATAATAATTAGAAATAATTAATTTTTTCACTTACTTAAATTATTATTATCATTATCAGTAGTATTTGTTAACTCAATTAAATTATCATTTGTTAAATGATTATTTTGTTCAATTAATTGTTTAGCTAAATTCATGATATTCATCAATTGATATTCAAACAAATGTACAATTTTCAATAAATTTAATACCCAATCTATTTCATGACTGATTGTCAACAAATCAAAAGACGAGTAAATTTTTCTTGGAAAATTTTTAATATAGTCAATACGTTCAAATGGATTATTGCTGTTATTATTGTTATTATTATTATTACTATTATCAGTATTAGCAATTGTTGAATGATTGCATAACTCGTTCGCTGATAAAGAACGTTTATGTAGCAGTTGAGTATTTTCATGAAAATCAGTAGTAGTATCAGTAGTAGTAGTAGTAGTAGTAGTAGTAGTAGCAGTGATGTTTCGATCCGTTGGTGAATTCTGTTCATTTTCATATAATGTTGTCAATTCTGCTTTTCTATTCATCATTGGCATACTGTCATATTCATTTGTCATGGTTAATACTTTATTATCATAACGTCGACAGCTAACCGGCGCGGCGGGCATAAAAAATCTATTCAATGATTGTTTACGTCTAGCAATAGTTGATTTAGCTTTTATCACAGCTGCTGCAGTATTACGACGTTTTATTGGTGGTGTGGTAGATTTAATAGCGGATAGATAACTATTTGAATGATTGATTTTATGAGGATTTGTATTCTGTTCATCAGATGAATCGTTTGTATTATTGTGATTGAGTGACAATGGATTTGTTTCAGTCTCAATGAATTCTTTATTTACAGCATTTAAGTCATTTGAAGTGGATTCGTCCGTTGGTTGTTCATTTAAACTGTGCTCTTCATCAGATAGTTTATCGGCCGCAATAGATTGTTTTTCGTTCATTGCTGTATGATCTAGTTGAATTGTTTCATTCTGTTAAAATGAGAAAAAAATAATAAATTTTTATAACAAGGAATTGTCTCATTTTAATGAGGAGTGTATGTGGTTTACAATAAAAATACATACTATGAAAGTATTGAAGACGACAGGTTGGGTTATCTTACTTACTTAATTCCTTACGCCTGTTACCCCCAATGGAGAATAGGCCGCCCACCAGTTTTCTCCAACCAACTCTGTCCTGATCTTCGCTTTTCAGTTCTGTCCAGTTCCGCCTGTAGACCCTTCGGGGCTACTGCCGGTCCCAAGCACGAATAGAGGAGGAGGGGTTGGACATGGGGTTGGCGACCACATCTCACCAAAAAAACTAACTTGCCAAAGAAACGCTAACCAGAAAAAATAATTCAAACCATTTTAACTCTCCCCTGGGAGCTGGAACAAGAATTATGATGTCGCGTGATAAAAGCCGAGTTCCTTCGGAAGTCACGAGGCCGATGCCTCTACTGACAACCAGGGCAGTCATTCTTTTAGGTACATGGAACGTTCGTACATTGTGGGAGACTGGAAGACTATTACAAGGTTGCGTTATCCTTTCATCATAAATAAAAATAATAGTGTATAGTTAAAATAAGTCAGTCAATCGCAATGTAGAACTTCGTACATGAGGTAAATAAGTTCAGTTTGATATACTGCATCAGCATAGAGACGTAACTGTCACCTGCAATACCATCTTGGTTACAAAATCCATTTTGGAAGGCTTTGTTTGTAAAAATCCCTCCATATATACATTTGTGATTTATTCTTATTGATTCCTTTAATTGTATATATTGTTAGTCTGATCGAATCCATTTTGTGATGATAATATTTATATTTTATTATAGATTCTATTTCTTTTGGCTTTAATGAGTTTATGTCGTTTAAGCTGATAATTAGTCATGGCGACAGCCATATTGATTTGTTCCTCTCTGGATGGTGTTGCTTCCGTTGACTAGAATTGTGCATTCTGATTGTGAATTGAAGCACCCTTCCTGAATTGGAAACACTCTGTGTTACAAAGAAACCAAATATTATCTACCAAACGAATCTGATCTATCCAGGATGGATAGAATAACATTTATTTGTTACTGTTGATTTGATTAATTGAACAATTGTTGATGGAATAACGGAGTGGTAATATTTGTTTCGGTAATGAAGTACATTTATATTTATGATGAATATTAGAACCGTCATTTACCCAATCACCTTGTTTTGGTTTCAACTGAGCAAGGCACGTGTATCTAAACTACTTGGACAGTTATTCGTGAATCCAAATCTCACCTTGGATTCCACAGTTATCATTACCAATCTTTGTAACTCATGTTTTATTCCTTTGGTTACAGTGTATTCCATAAATAAATAGTTGTAAGTAACTAATGAGAAATCATGATTTAGTAATGTTATCATATTGTTCTTGCTTTAAAATAAAATTTTTAACTGGAATCTTACAATTTTATATGAACGATATAACGTAAACAGAATTTTTTGCAAACCTTTTTTGAAAAGTCATTCAGTCAGTTACAACGTAGAACTTCGTACTTAAGTACATCAATCACCTTGTTTTGGTCTCAACTAGGCAAGGCACGTATGTAAACCACCTAGGCAGTTACTGCTCAGTTTAAGCCTCAGTTTGTAACCTACATTGGTTGCAATAGTAGAAATATTAGCAGTAATGAAGAGGATTAGGGTTCAGAGATTGGATTGAAGAAGTATAATTCAGTGAGATGACTTTAGAAAGAGAAAGATAGAGATGATGAGGAATTAGAAAAGCAAACAATATTGAGCCATTTCATTCAAAAACTCTAACCATCGGTTACTTTCGTCTCGCCAACCACAACCATGTAGTAGTGTACATCTATCAACATGACTCACTCCCTTTGTCAGTGACTTCGTGTCGTTTTTGTTGTGTAGGAGTAGGTTGGAAGAAATTAAGGGGCGGCAAAACCAAAACATGGCTGAAATCCATGAAGTCATTGACAAGTGGACTGAGTCATGTCGGTAGTTGTCGACTACCTGGTTAGGGTCCGCGAGATGATAATAATCCATGGTTAGAGACCCTGAATGATATGGCTCAAAACCATTTGCAATGGCGCTGGTGCATTTATTCTCTACTGTTCTCTCAAATCCTAATCTTCTGGATTCTTCAACCCTTCTAGTTTTGACTTTCTAAACTTTTCTCACTGAATCATACATACTTCTTGAATAATATCTTCTAATCCTAACCTCTTCGATTACTTCCAATACCTTTACTACCGCTTCTACTATTGGATTTGAATTGACAATTACATCTCTGTGCTAATGTGCTATGGCAACATAAACTAATGTACTTACGTACGAAGTTCTACGTTACATCTGACTGAGATAATACCATAACTAGTCCATCAATATTTAGCAATTACAATCAATTTCAGTTTTGTTTGCTAAATTATTCAATCTATACATGAAGAACAACGAAAGAATACATGTGAATAAAAACTGGATCACAATTACAACAACAGCAACATGTGTATGTTATAAATATTTCACTCCTTCCATGATTTTTCTCCTTTTCTCTCTCTCATCATCAAATGCCCAAAAATCCACTTAGCATTAGTTGTACTTGGGCAAGATGAAAATTTATTTTTATGATTATAATTATGATTATTTGTGAACTGAGAAAATATTTTTTTGTCAGTTTTTTTAAGGGATTCATTTTGTAGTCAGTCAGTTAAAGAAAAAAAACATGAATAAATAAAAAAAAATAATTTTGTGTTACATTTACAATAGAAAAATATTTAACTAATTTATATCAAAAATTGTTTATTTTTTTTTCTAAAAAAAAATTTAAAATTTAAATTAAATTAAAATAGTTTTATAGATGATTTATGATTATATTCCTCTCTTTCTTTTCTTAAAGGAAAAAAAATTTGGAACAAGTATTCTATTCGACAAATTATTATTATTATTATTATTATTATCGGATGACCATAAATTCTGTTGTAATTAGAAATGAAATTGAAACACTTCTTATTTGATGGATATTTTTTTTTTAGTATGAAACTCTGTTGTATTGTTCAAATTAGTTTGTTATCGTTTTTTTTTTTTTAAAAAAAAAGAAAATACTTCAACACACATAGTTTTGTAATTTTTGAAGTTATTTTCGCTCTCTCTCTCTATCTCAGTCGCTCAGTCGCTCCATTAAAAACGAAAGTTTAATTACATTACAATACATTAGCCAATACGACTGTATATTATTGTCTCTGATTGAAATAAAATTTATTCTATTCCGTTGGTATTTCAAGTTAATATGAAAAATCATTTGAAACCATGAATCGATCAATGTTAGACCACCACCATTAGAAACCTGGAAGTACTGGACGGTCACCTTGTCCTGAAATGGTTACAAAAAAAATTAACAATCTTCACAACCACGTAATACAAATTAAATTACCTGTGCTCGCTAGTGACTAGCTTCGTGAGGAATCTTCTCCAAGTTCTAGTGGGAAGATGTGAACATTGAAGTTCAACCTGTTCGGGTGTAGACAGTAACTACCGAAGACTGTGTATGAGGTTGCGCAACTCCGTGAATTGATCAAGTTAGACATAAACACCGTTAGATACCGGTTCAGTGGTCCGATGGTTAAGCGTTCGCGCATAATACCGAAGGTCCTGGGTTCAAATCCTGCGGGGTGCAGGAGTCGTGGATGCGCACTGCTGAGGAGTCCCATACCAGGACCACGAAACGGCCGTCCAGTGCTTCCAGGTTTCTAATGGTGGTCTAACATTGATCGATTCATCGTTTCAAAAAATGTGTAACTTAACAATCTTCACAACCCCGTAATACATAATACGAAAATTATTTTTTTATCGCTTCAATATTTTTCATAGCATGAAAAATGATTAAACCTCTTTTTTTCGGAAAATTTCAACTTGTTCATCACACAAAAACATATTGTCAATGTAAATATTACTGAGATTTCATATACGTATAGGGATTGGTTATAAAAAGGTTGCTACAAAAATAATTGATTGTTAATCAAGTTTAACATCCTTTCAATTTCCTATAGTTTAACAATTGTTGTGACTGAACTGAGTCAAAAAGAAATATCACTAGTTAGAAAGCTTATAGTTTCGATAAAAAATCATAGAGAACAAATGGGGTTCCAGTGAAGGAAGAAATCAGGAAGAACCACTGGAAATGGATAGGACATACACTGAGGACAGCACTCAACTGTGTCATAAGATAAGCTCTCATTCGGAATCCCCAAGGTTGAGGGAAAAGAAGACGACCAAGAAATATATTACGCTGAGAAATGGATACAGACCTGAGAAGAATGAACAACAATCGTATAGAACAAGAAAGAAGAGTGAAGGATAGTGTAGATTTGACAATGCTGGTCGGCGGTCTATGCTCCATTCACGGCTAACATGCTTACGTAATTAGGTAAGTAAGTAAGACAGTACGACAAAATTCATCTCAACTGAACAAAATTCGCTCTATTTATCATTTTATGTTATATAAATGCTTATTTCTATAAAATGCTAATCTTCTCTATTACTGCTAATACTTCTATTATCTCTATTCGTATGGAATTTGAACTGACAATTACGTCTCCCTATGTGCTAATGTGGTATGGCAACATGAACTGATGTACTTACGTACGAAATTCTACGTTGTAGCTGACTGACTGATTGACTAACTGTAGGAAAACGGTTGCGACAAAGTCTGTTCACGTTATGTCGTTCATACATATTTGTATGATTCCAGTTAAAATATTTTATATTAAGGCAAGGACAATATGATGACATTACTAAATCTTGGTTTCTCATCAGTTACTTACGACTATTTATTTATGGAATACACTGTAACCATAGGAATAAAATTTGAGTTACAAAGATTGGTAACGCTAACTGTAGGATCCAAATTGAGATTTGGATTCACGAATAATTGTCCAAGTAGTTTAGATACACGTGCCTTGCTCAGTTGAAACCAAAACAAGAAGATTGGGTAAATGACGGTT